GCGGGGTGCCGGCCCTCCTTCCCTCCCCGCCCGACGGAGTCGCGAAGAGCGAAGGCTGCTCCGGGCGGGGCCGGGAGGCAGCCCTGCCCGCCCGCCCAGCTCCCCCGCAGGGCAGCCGGCGTGCCCGGGTGCGGCGGCGGGACGCCCTGCCCGCGCCAGCCGAAAAGCCGGAGGGCGTCAGGTCCCTGAGGGCCTCGGAGCTGCCCTCCCGGCTCCCCTCCCCTCCTCGGCCCGGGCGCTCGGTCCTTCATTTGCCGTCGGCAGCGGCTGCCGCCGTGGAAGGCACGAACTAGCCCCCAGGGCAGCGATAGCCGCTGCCTGGGGCGAGCCGGGCAGCGGGAGGGGAAGGCAGCCAGGGTGGGGGTCCAGGGCAGGGCCAGTCCCTGCTGGCCTTAGCCGGGAATCTGGCTTCGGGCACGTTTTGGGGAGGAGGAGGGAGATGGGCAAAATGGTGTTGTTGCACACGTGGCTGTTAAATCCCCAGCAGAGATGCGGGGCTGGGGGCTCAGGTGCTGGATGTTTTTGTCTAGGCATGGGAAAACCAACCGTGGCTGAGGGGCGTTGTGTTTCGTGCTCAACAAACACACGACAGTAAAATGGTGCCTGAGCTCCTGCCCGGTGTAGGTGTAATGCAGCACAGTTGGAAAGCGGGCTTAGAAGATTCAACGCATTTTGTTCATTGCCGGGTTCCCATTCGCAACTTTAAGCATGTCTTTGTGCTAGCCAGGCATGGGTTATTTCTTTCAGTCCAAATCCCTCCACTTCAAATCCAATTGCTGCATTAAGTGTATGTCTTAGCTCCATTTAAAGGAGAATGGTATTGAAGAGTGTCCTCATTTGCAAGGAGTGACTAAATGCTTGTTTTTCAAATAACCCAACAAACAGCAGTTTATTAGTCCATGTTAATTCTCAACTTTAAAAATCCAGGTAATCTGTCTTGGCTGAAGCGCTGACCTAATTTATGTAGCCACTTTTAAAATATTTTTAAATGTTGAGCACAGGACCAGACGAAACTGGGGGCAACCCGAGTAGCCCAGCACATTGATGCATCATGTGTTTCAGCCATAACATACAGGGGGACTGAAACATTCCCCTTTTCAAATGAGCCAACATGCCGAACAGCTTTACCAAGGGGTAGTGGAAATCAGCCAGTGGCAATGGTAACTCCCCAAAAGCCAAGCCATAGCTGATACAGGGGCATACACTGTCAAAGTTCTCGGTTTTGTTTTTTTTTTTAACAATCCATCTAGCTTGACTTTATTATTTCCCTTTTTTGTTTCATGGTGGTATTTTTTTTTCTGTGAGATCTTGACCTTTTTGGACCAGCTAGCAGACAGGAGCGAGTTGCTAGGGAGCTCTGTGTTATTCGCAGAGAAACCAAGTGTTACTATCCATTTGTACCTCAACCCTCCCATGGCAGTGCTCTTAGTACCCAGATTTTTTCCTTGTCGCATTTTGGGAAGGGAGCTCATTCTCTTTCCTCCCGCTTCTGTTATCCACTGCTGTTTTGGCACAGGTGCCCCAGATCTTTCTGGGTGTACAGTAAACAGCATGGATTGTTCAGGCAAGAAATCTGGAGAGGAAATCTACAGTTCATGGCTGACCTCTACTGTTGGCTCATTTTTTTGCTCTGCACGTTGCTTTGTTGACAACTGCCTCACCCCGGATGGTGAAGGCAGGGTCAGCAATGAAAGCACTGTAGAAGCAAGCACAGCTCAAGGTCCTCAGCGCTCTGCTATGGGACTCAAAAGGTAAACCCTTCAGGGGATGGTGCTGAAACCCCAAACTCCAGTAGTATAAGCACTGAAAGAATAATTTGTGACTATTTTTTTGATAAATCTTGACTTATTTTTTGTTTGTAGCGGCCTCGTTTGGTTTTGATGTTAGCAAATTAAATTTTATAGGCACTTCAGAAGTTCTCTTTAGCTATTCTTTAAGAGCAATCAGCAGCCCAACTCCTTGATTAAACTGTGTTCAATCAGATGTATTCCTTCTAAAGTGTTTACCTTTCTAGTCAGAGATTCTGGTGTGAATGTACACAAATGGCAGGAAGGGGTTACTTTGGCTTTTTGTAGACATCCTGGCTAATAAAAGTTAATTTCACAAATATTTATATGGGTTGATTGTCTAGATACCAGCAAAGATTGATTTAACAAACACTGTACTGAAGTCCTCCTAAAGCCTTCATTTACGGCACAAGTTATTTTCATAGAAGCCTGTCGTTCAACTTAAAAGTAAGCTGTACGGCCTCTGGCCAGCAGAGGCTCTTTTCTTTGCCTCCAATGCCCACCAGAGGTAAGACCCACTCTTCTCTGAGCTTTAGTTCTTCTTTCTGTTGTATACTATCCAGCCAGGTGATTTGGAGGGAGCTGTTTCCCCCCCCCAGATAACAATAAAAAATAATAATTCCCCTCCCCACTGTCTTTAGACACAGTGATGAATGCAAGTTCATTTTACAATTATGGGCTGCAGAAATTATTGTGGGTCGCCCAGCCCACCTCCCACAGTTGGGTGTTTGCTCTTATAATATAAACAAGCCCTTAATATCAGTTCGTTTCTCATATACATTGGACATAATTAGGCACGGCCAATTGCATGTCTGCCTATTTGTGAATACCCAATATATTCATGGTGATAACAGTATGCACAGATCATACATCTTCACATGAAGGTCAGACATAGGAAAATTTTTGTAGTGATAGTATGTATCTAATACCAGCATGCCGTCTATTGTTCCTTTATCAGGTAAACAAAGAACTAAATAGACCCTTGTACAAAAGGCCAAAGTCCTCACTCAAGTACTATTTCAGATCTATTTTGAGAGTCTGAGTGAGGCATGGAGCTATTAGAGAAACAGCTACAGGATTCTGAGTTAATGTGTCTGTAGAAAAGACCCTTATAGCAATTGTAAGGTGTTTGTTTATACCCAAAGAGTATCTTCCTAGTTTCATTTATAAGGCTAATCTCATACATTGGTCAGTTAAAAGAGCCAAGGACTGAAGAACGTTCGGAATGACTCATGCAGTCATTACAAGATGTTGCAGTTGTCCAGGGGTTATAATATCCCCGAGCGTGAGGAATATCCTCTTTTTCTCTTTGCACAGATTTGCAGATGAGCAAAAGCGTGCAGCTTCCTAATGTGACAGAAGATGATAAGGTAGTCCTGAGATTAGGCTGATAGTGAAGTGACCATCTTATACTGTATAACAACTAAAGTGACTGCAGCACTTTCTGACTTTGAGCTAATTATTGTGCAACTGCAATGAGCCGGGACTTCCATATCAGAAAACAAAATCTGCTTTTCCTTCTTTTCAGAGAAGAAAGTAGAATAGGCTAGGATTTTAAATGGTAACTTACAGCATATGTTAGATCAGACTTGCCCACATTTATTTGAGTGTTACTCGAATTAAATTACCTCTTTAATTGCTACCTTTTTTTTTTTAATTTTTAGGTAGCCTTAGTAATTGCATCTCATGTTATTAGTTATTCTATGTTTTTCGTTTTGCACAACTAGTGGTCTCAGTGATGGAGAATAGATATGTGATGACCTTGATTTTTTCCTGTAAAACGTCCTGAATATTGCTTCTTCCTTGCAAGAGGTAGCAGGTAGTGTTGATGTTGAGTTTTCTACTGAAGGACAAATTAATGATCTGAAATCTGGTTAATTTTGTGATTAAACTTTATAGTCTATACATCCAGTCTCGAACACAGGTTCACAAAGAACCAGAGCAAAGATAATCTCTTTCCAAATTCTTAGCTCCTACACCAGTATGTGATTTCCAGAAAATGATCCATTCCCCAAATGGTCTTTTGTTGGGAAGGTTAAAGAAGAGCACAAGCTGTTCCATTGTTTAAAAATAACAAAGCTGCTGCCCTCCCACTTTGTAAAAAGTAACTACAGAGAGTGCATTTCTGAACGGTGCTCAGATGTGAAGAATAAGGATTTGTAAAATTTGCCTAATGAATTTGCATAACTAACGGATAGGTCCCATGGTCATTTCTATAATGCCAACATCTTTCAAAATTTGTTCTTGTCTTTTATTACTGTTAGCATTCACTCACATTAAAGTGTGAGCATAGTTATTAAACAACAGTGGCAACACCACTGTGGTATTGTGAATGAAATATCTCAAATGAAATAACTGCAGAGTTTTCTCAGCATATCTACCCTACAGGTGCTTTTCTCTGACAAAAAAATATCACAGGTTTTCATTGATGTCATGCTTAGCACATTTCCACTTTGATTTCTATATAAGGAATTACTTGTTCCTCTCATTTCAGCCTCTATCAGGTCCTTCTGAGTCATTTTGTAATTCTAGGGCTTGGTGTTCGTTTCTCACTGACACAGAATTCACAGCATTACAGAATCACTTTGCCATCTTTTTGCATGAGTGTGAACAACAGAAAGTTGGCAAAACTGCTTTTCTTCACCCTGGCTGATTTTAAATAACTACATAATTTAGAGTTCATGGAAGTTAATTAAAGTTGACAAGAAATCTGCATTTTAGGCCTGCAGCTTTAACAGCTCCTCATCTATAAGCATCTGAAGATCAACCTTATTTATCTTGTCCTAAAGCAACACACTAGAAATTTTTCTTTGTTGAAAAAATTACCATCTGCTACAATTTAAATAACTAACATGAATCCCACAAAAATGGTCATTTGATCTGTAAAGACTGTGCTAATAAGGCCTTTGACCATAAAGCTAAGCTCGAATCATTTCAAAGACAGAAGTGTTTCAAACGTGACTTTTTTTCCTGGCAATGCTAAATAATGTTGCATCAAAACTGAGAGCAAATTCATTTAAACTTTGGAGTTATAGTTGAGGCAGGGGATATGAAACAGGTCAGTCTTACAAAGCCAAATTTCTACAGATAAGATTTCTAAAAAGAAAAGCAATCAGGGTGCACTGTTCTGCTAAAGAATACTGAATTTTGTCCTTTAGAATTCCAATGGTTAAGTTTCAGTTCATCAAATACATACATTTTTAATATGGCTAAGGGGAGAATGAATTTTTTTTTATTTTCTTAGGTCTCTGCATTTTGTCTTGGAATGCATGGATTGCAAATTTACAGCTGTATTTCTTACATTGTATAAAACCAGCATTCCTTAATAATCCCTCCCAGCTTCTCCTGCAAAGTCTCGGTATCGCTACTAAAGTAAATCAGTCCAGTCTATGTATGATTTATTTTCACTAATCTCTGGTGAAGGTGAAGTTGATGTTTTTCAAGCACGTGGAACAACAAACATC